GGAAAATATACCTAGAAATTTTTACCCAAACAGATCATTGACTAATTCAGGACAGCACCGTTAAACTCCTCCAAATGGTGCCGGTGGTGTCATGTAATTTCTTAATGTGAAAGATGAAACTATGTTTAACAAGAAAAAACTATACATACCGTATTTTTAGCTTACTTTAAAATTAACTATATGCATTTTTGTTGTTGTTTTGGGGCTTATTAGTATGCAGCTCCTAGAACATGAAGTGTTATGTATCTACATCCTGAGATAGCAGTCTGTATTTATATAATTAAAGTATTCTAAATTTATTTTAATTGCTTTCTTACTGCTTACACATTTTTCTTTTTTTAAAAAAAACACACAACTCTTTGCTTTAGAGAGAATTCTGAAGTTTATTTAGTATTTCACATTAAAGGTATAATCCAACGGGTGGATACCAGTAAAAGCAACTGGATATTCTCTTGTGCAAAAGAGAATAATAATAATAATAATAACTATAATATCGTTTCTGCAAGATTGAATCCCAAGAGTAAATCTAAAAAAGTAAAAGGTTGAACGTTGTGAAGAAGAGATACAGTTCAGTCCTGCTAGTCTAGAGAAGCAACGGGGAGTAAAGAAGGACGGTGTGTTCTTCTATATATCCATGCGGGTGAACTTATGGCCCAGGTGCCGGAAGTGGCACGCAGAGCCATTGCCCGGAACTGATCCACTGCGCATGCGCAAATCCCCCACCGACCAGCTGATTGTCGGGTATCTGCTGTGCATGCACATGGGCGGGGCACATGTGGGTGGGTGGGTAGCGCATGCATGTGCAGAGGCATGTGGCACGAGGGGGCACGCACACGTGCATGGGGGGGTCGCACGGCCAAGAGAGTTATACGCGCATTGCATTATGGGTGCAGGCAGTGCGCGCGCGCACTTTTGTCACGCGATAACAGGAAGTTTAGCCATCAGTGTTCTATATTATCTTAGTTTTTGTCTTTTGTGGCTCAGCTGGACTTTGATTTATAAAATAATCTGAAGGTGACGTGAGATCCAAAGTTATTATACAGGTATATACGTATATATGTATGTATATGTATATCTATATGTATATATATTTGTTTTCTTATGTTTTCACGGGTATTTATATGTATGGTATTCAGGTTTCTTCGGGTATTTTCCCACGTCTTAATATTTGTGCTTTTATTATAGCGACATCACTGACACACACGATTAAAAAGAACACAATACACAAGCCTGATGATGGCAGATGAGATTCTGCTGAAACGTCGCTATAATAAAAGCACAAATATAAGACGTGGGAAAATACCTGAAAAAACCTAAATACCATACACACACACACACACACACCACACACAAATGTGTGTGTATGTATATGTGTGTGTATATTTATGTGTGTGTATGTATAATTATATTTTAATGTTGTGTTTCTCCGTCCAGATGAAGTTGCAGACATTGACTTGTAGTCTCTCTCTCTCTCTCTCTCTCTGTATATATTTATTTATGTATGTATGCATAGAGATATAGATTTTGTGTTAGTATCTCCAACTTCACCTGGGCAGCTGCTAGGCAATTCCTTGAGAAATTCCTTCCTGGTTGAAGGCATAGGACCCTTAGTTTCTATTTGAAAACCCAACAATTTCAGAATAGAAACCAGTAGCTTCTATCGTCTGTATGCTTTAAAGAATCTGTGGAGGTTCAATCGCAGTTTATTTGTCCAAAATGTCTCCCTATTTGAGGACTTTTAAGAAGAGATTGGACAACCCCTTGTCTGAAATGGTATATAGGGTCTCCTGCTTGAGCAAGGGGGGGATGGACTAGAGGACCTCCAAAGTCTCTTCCAACTCTGATGATGATGATGATGAAATGATACGGATTTTCTAAGATCTGATGAATTTCTGCAGCCACACCATCCTCTTGGTGTCTTGAACCGGCATCTTCCAGATGGTATTTCTGGATGAAATAAATTACAGCTTTCCCTTGATGGGCTTTCACTGCTTCTACAGGTGGTCCTCGATTTACAACATTTTCATTTAGTGACCATTCAATGCTACGATGGTGCTGAAAAAGAATGACTTACGACCCTTTTTCACACCGTTGCTGCAGCCCTGTAGTCCCACGATCAAACTTACGGCTGTTTTTTATACGCGTGTTGCACCATCCCCACAATCATGTGACCTAAATTCAGAGGCTTGGCCGCTGACTCACAGTTATGACGGCCACAGCATCCCGGGATCCCCTTTTGTGACCTTCTGATGTGCAAAGTCAAGGTGGGAGCCAGCCTCACTTAACAAAACCGTGTCGCCAACTTCACAAGTGCAGCGGTTCGCTTAACCACTGTGCCCAGAAAGGTCACAACACGGGGCGAAATTCAGCCCACAAGAGGCCTTGCTTAGCAACAGAAATGTTGGGCTCCGTCGTGGATGTAACTCGAGGACCGCCTTGTATTTTCCAAGGGGGCTGCCAATCCTTGCAGTGGCAATGGACCGTCCCTTCCTACCCCCCCCCCTCCCTCGTTTCTCCTGGTTTTTCAGCAGAAGCCCCTGAGCCCAACCGATTCCTTTCGGAAGGAAGTCAGGATTTCTGCCAGCAGGACATTAAGAGACCAGATCGTGTCTCCAATCCCATTTTCCTCAATGGAACAGATCTCTTTTTTTGGGGGGGTGGAGGGGGCAGAGAAACCCCCGCAGCCTTCAGGAAGGGAAAGGCACTATTGTCTTCTTCAGCATCCCCTAAGGGAACGCCAGGCGTCCGGAGGGAGAGGTCAGGCTTGCTTAAACTTAAACCGGCTGGTTAATTTGAGGCATGCCTGCTAAACGGCCAAAGGAGTGGATTTCATGCAATGGAGCTGGGGTGCCTTCCTCAAAGTCATGAAAGAATTGGGGGGGGGGGGACGACTCACACAACAGATTGTCCATGGCGGCTTTCTCTATAGCTAATGACGGTTAAGAATTAGGCGACAAGCATTTTTTGGGGTCCATTTAACAAAACAGCCCTACAGTTTTAGAAATCTGGCGGTCTCATTCTCCCTTTCTGAAGCCGAGAGTCCTCAGCCGCCTCTGAAACACACACAAACACACAAACACACAGACTACGCTGAATGGTGGACCGATTCATAAACGCAGCCTCCTAAATGCCTGAATACGTCTATTGTACGCTCCCGCATATATATCCCTGCAAATTTGGTCACAAAGATGCCACTGGCAACAGCATATGCTAAACACCGTTTTTTAAAAGAGAGAGAGAGACAGAGACAGAGAGAGAGGGGGGGGAGAGAGAAAGAGAGAGAGAGAGAGAGAATCCCAACAGGCATCATCTCCAAATCCACCTTGTCATATTTGCAAGCATCTTTCGTTTGTGCAAGGACAGCAAAACAAAACAAAAGGCCAACAGAGAGAGAGGGAGAGAGAGAGAGAGAGCACACACACGCACACACACGCACGCTGTGCACGCTTGTGCAGAAGAAGTGAAAACGGGATGGAAAAAGTCCAGCGTCTCCCCTCAAGTCGCAAAACCCAGCGGCAGCCTTGCAAGCGGGGGCTCCTGAGAGGCTGGAAGGGAGAGGCGCCCCGTCGCCCACGTCCGAATGCCCAACCTGCCTTTTTGCACTTGGACCCTTGAGACAAAGAGCAGGGAAGCGGGGTGGGAAGAGGGTTGCTGGCTCCCTTTGGCTCCTGCAGCTGTTGCTCGGTGGGTGCCGCGGCGCATGTGTGTGCCTATGTTGGGGTAACGGCTCGCAGGGCTGAAGGAGCCTCTCCCGTTTCCTCGGCGAGCAACGCATCCCCCGTTCCTGGTTCAACGAAAATGTTGGTTTTATGCCCACCCCTTTTTCCCTTTGCCCGTCTCTTGTGAAGCACAGCGCAGGTTGGGATGATCGCGAAGGGCTTACGACACTCAGCGAGCAGGCGAAGCCTCTGCAGGCTCTTAGCTTCTTCCTGCTGGGCTGCAAGGAAGCCTCGCTCTCTCTCTCTCTTCCCCTCCCTCCTTCCCTTCCTTCCTTCCTTCTTCTCCCTCTGCTCTTAGAAGCGTCGTCTGGACAAGCCAAGGGAAGCCAGGATGGAAAAACAAGCCATTGGGAGCCCGTCCAGTCGGAAAACGGATGTTGAGCTGCCTCGGAGGAATCAAAAGATGCTCCCGGTTCATCTCCAATGACGGACGCTAAAGAGACGGTCGGATCCCGGGGAGCTGCTCAGAGTTTCGGAAGGGGGGTCTCTCCATCTTTCTCGGGTGCATCTTCCCCCCCCCTTCCAGCCCTCTCCCTCCCCACACCGCCGTATGAACTGCAGAGGAAAAGGACAGGGAGAGAGGAAGAGAATGGAAGGAAAGATGGTCAGCCGTGATGCCCCCCGTACTTCGCAAACTTGGTGCTGGGAGTCAGCTTAAAAAATAAGGAGGAGGAAAGGAAAGGAAGGAAGAAGAAAAAACCCCAGGAAGGAGAGGAGGGGAAGAAAAGGATAGCTGGACATGCCTCTCGCCCTCCGAGATGAAGCGGAGTAGAGACATTGTGCGCCTGCCAGCCCTGCCAAAAGCTGAAAGCGTCCGAATGTGTAGCAACAGAGAGTTCTTTTTGAGCCCTGCATATCATTAAGCCCAACACAAAGGAAGCTGCTGAATGGAGCTTGTCAATCTCTGGAACAGGGTGGGTAAGGCACTTTTTAATTTCATTCTCTCCTGGAGAGGGGTGTTTTCTCCCCCCCCCCATCATTGTTCTCGTCTTTGCGGCGGTGTCTAAAAATGGACAGATTCTCGTGTACCTTTTGAATGGCTTCTGAACTTTAAAGGCTGTAATACGGAGTTCTGCATGCTGCATTTATGTCCCGTCCCCCCCACAAGCCCCCAGCAAGTCCAAGATTTGGCCCGATGACTCTCTTGCCTCTGCCTGCGCCGGTCCCCTTGCCCTTTTGCTGACACAGGGGGGGGTGATGTAGAATCTATACGGAGAAAGGCAAGGGGCCACTCAAAGATTCCATGGACTTTCTCAAGCACATCTGGGGATATTCTCGCTAATGGATTTCCTTCTCATTGGGGTCTGTTTAAACTGGCTGCTGAAAAAGCCCCCAGGGCTGATCCTGTGTAGCCTGGGTCTTTTTTTAAAAATGCTGCCAGCCGTGCACACTGGGTGTCCGCAGCTTTGCCGGTGTGAGGGCAGGCTCCTCTACTGCGAGTCGCTGAATCTCACCGAGATGCCGCACAACCTGTCGAGCGTGATGGGGTTGTCATTGCGGTACAACAGCCTTTCGGAGCTGCGTGACGGACAGTTCACCGGGTTAACGCAACTCACGTGGCTGTATCTGGATCACAACCACCTTTATTCCATCGAGGCACACGCCTTCCAGAAGCTCCGGCGAGTGAAAGAGCTCACGCTGAGCTCCAACAAGATCACCCAACTGTCCAACAGCACTTTCCGGCCGATGCCAAACCTGCGCAGTGTGGATTTATCCTACAACAATCTGCAGGCTTTGGAGCCGGACTTGTTCCACGGCTTGCGCAAGCTCACCACGTTGCACATGCGGTCCAATGCCCTCAAGTTTGTGCCTGTTCGGATCTTCCAGGACTGCCGCAGCCTCAAGTTCCTCGACATAGGATACAATCAGTTGAAGAGCCTGGCTCGCAACTCTTTCGCGGGCTTGTTCAAACTCACCGAGTTGCACCTGGAGCACAACGACTTGGTGAAAGTCAACCTGGCCCACTTCCCCAGGTTGCTCTCTTTGCACTCCCTCTGCCTGCGGAGGAACAAAGTCACCCTTGTGGTGAACTCCTTGGACTGGGTATGGAAGCTGGAGAAAATGGACCTCTCCGGCAACGAGATCGAATACATGGAACCTCACGTTTTCGAAAGTGTACCTCACCTCCAGTCCCTCCAACTGGACTCCAACCGGCTCACCTACGTCCACCCCAGGATCCTCAGCTCCTGGAAGTCCCTGGTTAGCATCAGCCTCTCGGCCAACGCCTGGGATTGCGGCCGAAACATCTGCGCGTTGGCCTCCTGGCTCAGCACTTTTAAAGGCCGCTACGACAACAGCTTGCTCTGTGCCACCCCCGAGTACGCCCAGGGCGAGGACGTCTTGGATGCCGTCTATGCTTTCCACTTGTGCGAAGACGCCACGGACCTCACCACCAATGGCGATGGCGACCTCTTCTCGGCCGCGGTCAACCAGAGTGGCCCGACGGCCAGCTATAACCCTTCCACTCTGAACTCTGGCCTGCAGGAGGGCCAAGGGGATGGGCCCACGGACGCTGTGACCCGGCCCCTCCCCAACGAGAAGACGGAGAACGCCGTCCAGATCCACAAGGTGGTGACGGGAACCATGGCCCTCATCTTCTCCTTCCTCATTGTGGTTTTGATACTGTACGTCTCCTGGAAGTGTTTCCCGGTCAGCCTCCGGCAGCTGAGGCAACGCTTTGTGACCCAACGTCGTAAGCAGAAACAAAAGCAGACGATGCATCAAATGGCTGCCATGTCGGCCCAGGAATATTACGTCGATTACAAACCCAGCCACCTCGAAGGAGCACTGGTGATCATAAATGAATACGGATCCTGTACCTGCCACCAGCAGCCAGCAAGGGAATGTGAGGTGTGATTTTAATTTTGGTTTTGGTTTTGGTTTTTTCCAGTGGGGGGAAATTTCACTTGGTCTGCAACCAAATAGCAGTGAGCAAATTATTAAAAAAAAAAAAAGGATAAATAAAAAAAAGACAATTCAATCAGGGTTGACTTGGCTTACCGGGGCCTTTGTGTGCCGAAAATGTTTTGGTTTTGTTCTGTTTTCTTTTCCCCCCCCCCAAAGGAGCTGTCCCAAAAGACAGGATGTTAGCTTTACTGTGGCTAAACCCCTTCAAGACCTTCAACTTTCTGAAATGAGTTATTTCCTACAACAGCTCTCTGTGAAAGATCTGCTGATAATCAGAAAAAGAAAATGTAAAAAAAAAAGTAACAATTACTGATTTTCTTTTTGTAAAATCACCACAAAAAAATATGTTTAAAAAAAAATAAAAGCAAAAATAGCATTTACAATTTTTACAGGCTGTTGTACCGTATCTGAATTGTGATCTGTCTTGGGATGGGAAGGTGGATCTAATTCCTCTCACCCACACGGAGCCCGACTGCAAAATCTTGGCTCCTAAACAAGCCACAAGGAAGCACAAACTGAAAGGGAAGCAGTGGGAGGATTATGGGGCTGGTGGTACCGTGTTCCTGTGGAATTCAATGGCTCAATGTTGAAAATGGTGTGTTTGATCTCAGCCTGCTAGGTAACCTCATTTATATGCGTGGTGGGCCCACTCTGAGTTCGCCCCTCCCACAGCCTTGTCCCCTTTGGTCAAAAGATCGGCCACGGGGACGCCAGGGAACCCCAAAGTTCCTTTAAGACCCCAAAGTCCCCACCCGAAGCCTTTCTCTCATGTGCTTGCGTTACAAAAACCAAAATGATTCCCACCATTGGAGATTCAGGATGGAGGCAGAAGCACCTTGTTTTCCTCTGGTGCCCCCCCCCCCCACATTCTCCAGAGTTTGCACCCACCACTGCACAGAAGAGACACCTGCAGAATTGTAAACTCCGTGGCCTACAGCGCCTTGGGGCCAGACCTAGAGACAGCCACACGCCCATTTCCCCTGGGGGCAAAACTCTTGTTTGTGTTGCTCACAAAGGTTCGGGACCATCTGACCCAGCAGGCCAGCTTTGGCCACTTGGCCTTTGGCTGTGGCTGATCTTAGCTTGTCTCCAGAGAGGTTCATCCTGTCTCCCAACCGATGCCTGGCTCATCCACAGGCATAATAA